TTTCTTCTTCTTTTTTTGTTTTTTGGGGGTTTGTTTTGTTTGTTTGTTTGTTGTTTGTTGGCACGCTGGCCAGTCTTCCTACTTTTGAGAGCACGTAAACTGGCTGTACTGGAGTATTGGCTAGAGTCCAGAACATCTGCAGGTAATACGTTTATCTCAGCTCCTCACCCCGATTTGGAGGCCAATGGCAACATAATAGGCGTCTTTCATCAAACAGACTAAGGTCCATGTATCTCCAAATCCTTGTGATTCTTATTTGAAAGTATATTTTTCTTTTTTTGTTCTTGTTTTGAGACGAGATCTTGCTGTGTAGCCCAGAAGAGCTCCTGCAATTGTCCTGCTTCAGCTTCCTGGGTGGTGGGAATAGTCATGAGTGTTGTCCCTCACAGGGAAGGTAGACCTGTGTGTGAGGGCCAGGTGGTCACATGTCATCTAGACTGGCCTCAAATTCCTTATGTAATTGAGACTGTTCTCCAGCTCTGAATCCTTTTGTCTCTGCAACTCAAGGGCTGGGATTCCAGGGGTGTGTAACCACAGCCAACTTTGTTTTAAAAAAAAAAAATGTGCTGGAGAGATGGACTCAGAGGCCAAGAGTGCCTGCTGTTTTTCCAGAGGACTTGAGTATGATTCCCAGCGCCCAAACAGCTGCTTGTAGCTCCAGCTGCAGGAGGGAGGTCTAATGCCCTCTTCTGGCTTTGGCGGGCATATACACACACGGTCACAAAAAGGTTTTGTTTTTGGTTTACTAAGATAGACTCTCACAGAGTCTGCAGCCTTCCCAGCTCCTTCACAGACTTTATACCATCTTTTAAAAATGTAAAAATCTGCCAGGCAGTGGTGGCGCACGCCTTTAATCCCAGCACTCGGGAGGCAGAGCCAGGCGGATCTCTGTGAGTTCGAGGCCAGCCTCGTCTACAGAGTGAGTTCCAGGACAGGCTCCAAAGCTACACAGAGAAACCCTGCCTCAAAAAAACAACAAACAAACAAAACAAACCCCCAAAAAACAAAAAAAGAAGAAGAAAAGTAAAAACCAACTAGGGATGAAGCTCACAGGTAGATGCGCTCTGTTGGACTTGAACTTGACATCTAGCACCACGAAACAAAGTATATGTACTCACCAGAATTGCAGTTTCTAGTTAGTGGTGTTTATGCCCTTTGACCTAACATTTTTTTTAAATCAGTTTGTACATCTGGGACATTTTACTTCTGTGGCCCTAAATTTATTGGACGGATTATAAAAATAGAGCAGTAGATCTCTCTATTTGTATGACTTTTATGTGTCTGGAGACCTAACTGTTGTCTCTTCCCCAACCCCCACCCCCTTTCTGAGAGTTCTATAGCCCTGGATGGCCTCACACTCACCGGGCAGCCATGGATGACCTTGAGTTTCGGATCCTCCCGAGTGCTGGGATTACAGCGGGTACCACCATGCCTGGTTTGCACCTCTTTTTTTCATTTTTAACATTTTTTTCCCTTTTGAAGCTCCGGGACTATTTTCTCAGAGTTTGAAGGAAAACATCAGGGCAGACAAGCTGTCAATCTTGGCAGAGGCCTGGAGGAGGAGGTAGTTTAGGAGAGAGAAGAAAAGTTAATGCCTTTGGAGTTAGGGTCCAAGAAAGCAGGCGGATCCATCATCGGAGGTCTGCAAGCAGCTGCATTGTCGGGGGAAAGACTCTCCCTACAGAGAAAAAGTGAGAATGTCTAGAGCGAGGGAAATGTTGCTTAGGATTTAAGACTGTCCAAAGAAGAGATAAAAGGGGGGGGGGAGGTCATGCCTTTTGAGTTAGAACTCAGAAAAGTGGGCTTAGCTGTAAAGATCTGCAAACATCTGCAGAAAACTTCTGATGTTTTCCTGGTGTGTAGCTGAGCCTCCGGGGTCCATCCTAGCTAGAACATGCTTTGTTTTCTAACAGGACTTCACTCTGCAGACCGGGCTGGCTTAGAACTCCGTGTAGATCAGGTGTGTCTGGAACTGTGGAAATCCTCCTGAGTGCTAAGATTACAGGTGTGAGCCTCAACTCCCAGTAGTCCTAGGACAGTCTTAGGATTTAAATTAGTTTAAATGTATCGTTATTGAGTGTGTGTGTGCACTGGGACAAACACGTGCCTTGGCACATGTATGGAAAGCAGAGGACCACTCGGGAGCGTTGGCTCTCTCTTTCCACTGCTTTGAATCAGGTTTTCAGGCTTGTACAGCAGCTGTCTTTATCTTTATCTGCTGAGCCATCTTGCCAGCCCATAGTATAATCTTGAATGTAACTAAGATACTAGTTTTCAGAAATGTTCTCTTAGGGTCTTCAATGTTGGTTACGTGACACTCACGGGGATACACTCTGGAAACAGTAACTCGTCATAATGGGACGAGTGTCACTGAGTGTCAAGAACTTCCTACAGCCTGCAAAGGAGCTGTTTCCTTTTGTTTCACTTGAACTGATAGAAATAGGTAGTTATTTACTCCATTTTGCAAACAAGAAAAGTCTGAGATACAAGGGACTATTTAAAAAAAAAAAAAAAAAAAAAAAGACTGGTATGATAGCTCAGCAGGTAGAAGCACTTGTGCATGGGTCTGGGACCTGAGTCCAATCCCCCCTCCTGCAGGTAGCAGGAGGGAACTAGCTCAGGGAACAGCTTGAGAGTTATTCTGTGACTACAAGCACACTGTGCAATTTGCATGTATACACACACACATAAATAAATAAAAGTAAATCTTTTAAGGTTTCAGACATATGAGGTAATTAATTCTCTCAGAGTCACTGAGCTTGTGAGTTGAGGGACTGGACTAAATTAACAAAACCAAGCCTCTAGGAAGAAAAAAAAAATGTCTTCATCACGAATGATGAATGTTTGAAGGAACAGATATTTAACCTGATCTAAATATTATACAATGTATACATATATAGAAACACTGACTGATGTTGGTTAACATGTATAATATTGATGCTTTTATGTATCAGTTGCAAATTAAAGCAGGGTGCGGTAGCCCATGTCTATCCCAAGAGGAAAGAAACTGAGAAGCAGTGAGCTCCAGGCTAGCAAAGGCTACATAGTGAAACTTGACTCAAAATAAAATAAAGCAAGTTTGCTTTTTAAAAATAAAAACAGGCGGTGGTGATGTAAACCTGTAATTTCAGCACTCAGGAAGAAGAGGCAGGTGGATCTGAGTTCGAGGCCAGCCTGGTCTACAGAGCGAGTTCTAGGACAGCCAGGACTACACAGAGAAACCCTGCCTAGAAAAACCAAAAAATAAAAAATAAATTAAAAAAAAAGAAAAGAAAAAACCCAATTTATTATTATTATTATTATTATTATTATTATTATTATTATTTGGTTTTTCGAGACAGGGTTTCTCTGTGTAGCTTTGTACCTTTCCTGGAACTCACTCTGTAGACCAGGCTGGCCTCGAACTCACAGAGATCCACATGGCTTTGCCTCCCGAGTGCTGGGACTAAAGGCGTGCACCACCACTGCCCGGCTATTAACATTATTATTATCGATTTTTTGAGACGGGGTTTCTCTGTGTATTAGTCCTGGCTGTACTGGATCTTGTTTGTAAACCAGGCTGGCTTCAGACCCACAGACCTGTCTGCCTCTGGGGTTAAAGGTATGCATCACCATGCCTGGCATTTATTTATTTATTTATTTATTTATTTATTTATTTATTTATTTATTTATTTATCTATTTATTTACTTATTTATTTACTTACTTATTTAATAAATAAATAAATGGGACAAGGTCTCACTATATAGCCCTGGCTAGTCTGGAACTGGCCGTGGTGAGAAACCACTTAATATCATTTAGAACGACTGGTCTAAAACCACAAGAATGAATTGGGGTATGATGAATGAAAGTTTCTGAGGGTGGAAAAGGAAGTTCTTGAAAACTGCAGTGCCCCTGGAGATGCTGTTATTTACTTGTTTACTGTATTGGGCTGTTTCCATTCTCGGTTGCAATTCCCACACTGAGGCTGTTCCCACCCTTCCTGTGTCCCTAGAGTTGAGCATGCACTTCCTGTCCTGTTATAAATGAAAGTCAGAGCTGGGGGTGGCTGTGCATGCCTGTATTTGCTCTGCAGAATGTTGGCTGGCGCTGTCTGCTCCACGATCATAGCCAAACAGTGACAGGAAAGCCGGAGAGCAGGGCTTCCCTGCAGAGAGAGTTTGGGTTGGATGTCTGTCTGTCTGCTGGAGCGTCTATGATGGCAGCCGGAGTCCTGAGGACGAGCTCTGAAGCTGTTCACTCCCTGTTCTAGGTAGATGGGTAGGCTTGGTGGGGTCGTCCTTAAGTTGTCTTTTCTTGTTACAACGACTCCTTTGAGGGTGCACTGGAGGTGAGTATTAACTGCAGCTGTGTGAGAGTCTTGACTCTTTTAAGTTCTGTTCTTTCCTAAAAAGTCTCATATTTTACTCCTTTGTGAAACATGCTTTTTAAAGAGCTATGATTTGTTTGTTTAACAGCTCAGAGATAGTGTCCTGATTCTGTGAACTTCATTCTGCGTGGCTGTAAATTCCACACCCGGTGAGTGTTTCTACTTGTTTAAGCTTGGGGGGGGGGGGCCGGGGTTTAAGGGCTGGGAAATAATAGAATAGAAAATCAAAGAGTTGGGCAGGGTGGTGCACTCCGTAACCCAGCCCTCGGGAAAGCAGGCATGAGGATTAGGAGGTCATCGTTTCGGGCTATGTGGAACTCAACGACACCTTGGGCTACCTGAGATCCTGTCTCAGAAATATCAAAGAGAGCTGGAGGGTTGATTCAGTGCTTAAGAGCTGATACAGAGGACCCAGGCTTGATTCCCAGCACCCACACGGTGGCTCACAAACATCTGTAGTTCCAGTTCTAGGGAATCGGATGCTGTCTTCTGACCTCCATAGGCACCAGGAACATGAGTGATACATAACACTCATAAAAGATTAAATAAAACTAACTTAAAAAAAAAAAAAAGCATCAAGTTTAAGCCGGAAGGGTGGGAATGTGGCTCAGTGGTAGAGTGCTTGATCATCTAGCACAAAATACACAAAATAGCCAGGACCAAACGAAGCCAACACACAGACGGAATGAGGCAGGATTGTGTGTCTGTGCTAGTGAACCTGTACTAAGGAGCCCGAGACAGGGTGATAACCGGTTTGAGGTCAGTGCGAGCCACTGGGTGAGGCCCTGTCTTACATAAATAAATAATAATGTTAAATAAGGTAGCTTCCACTTGGGCTGAAGACATCGCTTTGTATAGCTTAGCGAGCGGGACACCAGCAGACCAGGAGCCTTTGGTTTTGATCCCTGGTACCACCGAAAATAAATAAGTAAAATAGTAAATAAAAGGCTTCAACTTGTTTAAAAAAATCACAAAGCCCCGAACTTCATGAAATTGTTCTGATGATTTTTGTTTTGTTTTGTTTTGTTTTTCTGGGATTAAAGGCATGAGCCGCCATGCCTGGCTGATGATGCCTTCTTAAGTGTGCTGTCCTTACTGAGA